TCCTGATGATGGGCAACCTGTCACCGGTTCGTGGACACAAAACACAAACTTTTTTCGCAAGAAACCTGCCGGAGACATAATAAATAACGAGCTAAAATGACTGACTTTAGCTGTGGATCTGAATGTCTCTGTGATCTGGCCAGAACCTGAAGAGCCACGCGGTGACCATGTTCGAGGTGGGGAAGCTATCCGACGAGACCCTGGACAGCTTCCTGGCTGAGCTGGAGAAGGTGAGGCTGCGATGTGAAGTTGTTTCTGTGGGCCTTTAACTCATTGGCTGCCAAAGACGTCTATAGACGTCTTTTATGTTTTTCAACGCGAGTGGCTGGGGGACGATCTGTTAAAGCTTATCCGTAAATATCGGCTTCTAGACAGAGTATGTAGTAACAAATTGACCCTCTAGGGGGCAGTGCCACTTTGGATGGGAGATTAGCATAGACTGTAGGCAAATAAGAAAAAGGTAACGGTTCGCGATGAGAGAACATGTCGCCGGTGAGACGCAAGTCGAGGAAGAACGGAATAAGGTAGAAAGAATTTTTTTTTCCTGATGAAAGAAGAGAGTCTACTCTTTCTTTTGGTGTGTTCGGTGTTTACATAGTCATAGCACAAACTATTCTGTGGCTCTTGAAAAATCAGTCAAAATGCTCCAAAAACTCTGGCAGTATGGGACTCTCTGTTCTGAAAATGGCTGGCAGTCAATGAGTTAAGACATCCTTCATCAGGATTGTTCCAACATCGTTGGCTTACTTTAATTTAAAAGGCCATCCCGGGTAAACTCCCTCCATACCTATCACCTCATGTCTGTAGCTAACAGTGGTTACAACTCACGCTCTTCAAGTCGTGTTCTTTACACTATTCCCAGGATCAACACAGATCTTGGCTAAACATTATTTTTCTATGCAGCACCATGTTCATGGCACAATATCCAAAATTCCCTGCAATTACGGACTCTTATTCCGCTACAGCATTTCAAATCACTATTGAAAATCGCTTGCATAGAGCAAGTAACTAACTGTTACTCTAGAGTCTAGTTTATGATTGATTTTATTATGTTGTCCTGTCAGAATCAGAATTAGAATCAGAATAAGGTTTATTGCCAAGTAGGTTTTTAGACTTACAAGGAATTTGCCTTGGTGTTAGGTGCACAACACAACACTTCTATGAGAAGCAAGAAATAAAATGTAGAAATAAAAATTTAGGACAGAAATGATAAAACTGAAAAATACAATCTTTAAAAATATAGATCCGAATGTACAAATGTGTTCTTATATGTTTTACTGTACTGCTGCCTCTTGGCCAGGTCTCCGTCGAAAAAGAGATTCTATCTCAAGGGACTTCCTGGTAAAATAAAGGTTAAATAAAATAACAAATTTACCTTCCAAAATGTTTTTTCTCAGGTGGAGAGTACGGCCGAGGGAGAAGCTCAGCGCTACTTCGACCACGCTCTGACCCTTAAAAACACCATCCTATTCCTGCGCTACAACAAAGAACTCACTCAGGACCAGGGACCAGATATACCAAATATTGGTAAGGAAACACTCTTTCAAACTCTCATAAATGGAACATTTGACTGGTTATAAATGTGGGATATAAGCAGCTTGTAGACAGTGAAGCCGACATATTAGTTATTGTCTCATTTCTTTGTCTTCCTCCACATAAAGCTTTTTATAAGAGAGTCATATTTAGCAGACACAGACTTTCCTGTGTGTTGTTTTTTTTTTTGGGTGGTTTTCTGCCAGCTGTTGACATCTTTGATAAACTGCCGGCAACTTTTTTGCAATCTTAATTAAAAACGATCCTGTTCAAACCTGCCCATGGTAAATGTGAGACTGGCAGCGAGTTTCATGCAAACATTTCTGTGTCCTTTTATTGGCTTGAAAATATTAATAAACTGACTAGTGTGCAGTTTTTTTTTAGCTGTTTACCAAAACATGTTCTTGTTACATAATCCACTTAGACTCAAACATGAGAATATTCTTATCCATTTAAGGAGAGGGGAGTTGATGGCATTTATTTTTTTAGTATTTTGTTCTGTGTTTTTTATAAAAAGTGGAGCTTTTATCAGTTTAAAACCAGCCGATTCTCTTGACCACCACAGAATATCAGCACTTATTAACATGTTAGCTCAGCATCAGTGTTGGTTTCAATAAATGTTTTTTAGTGTGTGTGGCATTAAAATGAAAATGTTAAATACCCAGTTGTGGCCTATATGTGAAAACATTTTAGATTTAACTGCAGAAGGTTGTTTTAGAAAACCACCAACAGGGTGAATCTAAAAAAAAGAAGCTTTTTTATCACAGCTATTTCAAACAAACTTTTTTAAATTTAGCATTCTACCACTTAAACTTGTTCTGTCGTCCTGCAAAATCAAATAACTTTGTTATTAAAGGGGAAGTGGATCATGCATCTGTTGAGCTGTTGGCAGACTCTCGGTTGGTGTCAGGGGCTATATGGCTCTCTTTTGTGTTTGAGTGCTTTCTTTTAGCTCCTTTTAGGCTCAGGAACGAGTAGGATGGTGCCGTTCCACAGTGTCTCCAGGTGGAGCTGTAGAGAATACGTCATTCAGCTCCAACAAAGCATCTCCCCGAGTTTCCATGTTGCCGCCAT